CAAACAAAACCAATTCCTCAGTGAAGAAACCAATATTCTTTGTCTTTGGAGACATTACCCAAAGATGACATCGAAAAGGAAGTTTCTCATGACGAAGCCAATTTTCCGGCTTCAGCAGTGTAATCTGACAGCGGAGAATAAAACAATATGCCATTCTTACCAAATGAAGACTCACGAAGACAATGCCACTATTCCGATGAATTGTCAATCATCATTGGGGAATATGACGCTAAGTCTTGCATAATAACTAGCTCACTGAATCATTTGGAACAAGATTATCTTAATCATCTGTCCAATCTGTGCCATTCCTTGTTCTCATGATATAAGCATGTCATACGACAGCAGATTCTAAGAATATTACCGACATCTCTGTTCTCACTCTGAGGTTGATATTGGCGAGGCTGTTTTTTTTTTTGTTTTGTTTTGTTTTTTTTAGATCACGCTTTCGGTTAGTAAAAGGAAAATACTGGAATAATGCCAGGAAACAGATTCAGTCTTCGTGGTATACCAAAATCACAGTGTGCCCCAAATGATTCTCTTTGAGCTGAGATTATGTTCAGCCTATGAAGAATTTATTGGCAGCTGAAACTTTTAGGATATGGAGACGTTGACCCTGCCTCTTGCATATTTGTGCAGTTGCACACAAAGGAAACTCGGGGTAATTTTGCCCGGACATAAGTTCGCTTTCGTTCTTTTTTCTTTTATTAGTTGGCGTTAGGGATTAATTGAAAATGTCGTCCTTCATGTTCTCTTCGTGTTCATATTTTCTTTTCATCGGAAACGATCATAATTTCTCTTTCACTTTCTTTTGTTTCATTTGATCAGTCATAAATTTTCTCTCTCTCTCTCTCTCTATCTCTCATCTATTTAATTTACCCACACAAATACATGAACAAACAGAGTCATCCATAGACAAACTGTTTCACTGTATCACAGCTCTTCAAGCCGGGATCGAAACTTGACCGATTTGGCATCACACAATACAGAGAGAAAAAAAATTCCCAAAAACGTTTTCTTTACGAAAAACACAGAAAATCAAGGAGAGCTCAATTCGTAAATGAAGAGAAATGTATCAATAGCATCAGAATTTTAAAACAACCCTTTACATCAAAAATAAATTACATCGGGTCTTTAAATATTTAATATATATATATATATATATATATAGTCATCCGCATTTAGACTGTTTCTTTTTCATTTAACTCTTCAAAAATGGTTAGACGTCCTATTGCTTCAAAGCGGAATCGAAACTCGACCGATTTGGCATCAGTTAGAGATATTATCCCTAAGCTGTAGACGCACGGCAGAGAGAAAGGGATATTTTAACGTGTTCTATACGAAATGGAGGCATGGTGGAG